GCCTTTATTGCGCACGGAGCTCAGTCTCGATCTCTTAGCACAGAATTGCCTTTAAAAGGCCGCTCATAGCACCCGTAGCACTGGATTGCCTTTCAAAGGCTTCTCGTAGCACAGCTTTGCCTTTGAGCGGCCCCTCGTAGCACAGAATTGCCTTTAAACGGCCGCTCGTAGGATTGCCTTTCGAAGGCTTCTCGCAGCACAGCTTTGCCTTTAAGCGGCCCCTCGTAGCACAGAATTGCCTTTAAAAGACCGCTCGTAGCACACGTAGCACAGGATTGCGTTTCAAAGGCTTCTCGTAGCACAGCTTTGCCTTTAAGCGGCCCCTCGTAGCACAGAATTGCCTTTCGAAGGCTTCTCGTAGCACAGCTTTGCCTTTTTGAGCGGCCTCTCGTAGCACAGAATTGCCTTTAAAACCGCCGCAAAACTGCATCACCTGCCGCAGGCATCTCACCGGTTCTTTTCCCCTCCAGATTCTTCATCTCTCCCTTGCAACCTTTCCCTCTTACCCTGCACCTTCGTTGCCTTCAACCCTCCCACCACACCAACATTTCCGCAGCCTTTCCTGCTCGAGTTTCAGATTTCCGTCTTGTTCACTCGACACCCGTGTACTTTTTGTGGACCGCCCACGCGTGACTGATCCCCAGGTTTCATCCCAAGCCGCGACTAGCACAGTCCCCTGGCGCACGTCATCCATTTCAACTCTGCCATCGACGACAATGACGTCGCCCTCGCCTACAACCTCTTTGGACCTATGGAACCATGCTCTCCTGGCAGTTGCCGCACTCACACCTGACGCTCGCCAGGCCCATTCGAGATCTCGGACCCCTCCCGGAGCTGCCAATGACGACACCAGTTCAGACCATGTTGTCCTGATCTCGCCGCCAACCCGTCGACCAGCCCCGAAACAACGACCCGATCATTGCAACCTCGACCACCAGTGATCTGGCTTCACTACGATTCGCTTCCAAATTGCAAATTTCGTGCGCCAGATCCACCTCTTTCACTCCGACCAGCTCATCCAGCCCGTACGCTATCGCCACGTCGCCCTATGCCTCCCGCTCCACGGACTATACTTGCCGATTTGACTTCGCAGGCTACTACATCGGCGACTCCATCACGGGCGACTCTATGTCCAGCTCAACCGACCGCCACGGCAAGGATGACCATGGCAGGTGTCTTGATGGACGCGCCCAATTCAGCTCCAGCTGACCAGTCGGCCGCAATGTCGACCCCAGGATCAGGCTGAGCCACCTGGTCCATGCCCCCCCCAACCGGATTCCATCGACGAGGACACCTACTCGGACCAAGAAAATGCCTTACGCAACGTGGATGAGCGTGCATGGTTCAAACGCCATCCCTATGGTACGTACCGACAGCTGCACCTCCCACCTATTTAGACAACTCAATCATGCTGCCCTCAGCCACTACATCTTCGCCACCGGCGTCTACTTCATTGCCACCACAGACATCTCCCAACGCCTTCTTCCCGATTCCGACAGCCATGGAGATCCTGGAGGCTGATGATCAGGATCTTTAGTTGCCTCTCCTATCCAACAGACCGCCTGACCGACGACGGCTTCCTCTGCGACAGAAAAGTAATGCTACGCTGCCTTGCGCTCCACAGTCCTTCAATTTGCCCACGATAACCCCTGGTTCACATGAACTCCCAATTTCCCTTTCTTACCCACACCCACTCCTTCCCCTTTCCCTTTTTTCCCACTAGCTCTCGGCTCAAGATCCGTATTTGCTCACCGCTGTTCTCTCACACGACGACTCCTCCACGCCCCCCTCCTTACCCCGCACTGCAAAGGCTGCAACTGGATCCTGAAGCTCTACGGCAACCATACCAAGATCTTTCCGCCGTACCTCATTTGCATTCCGTCCGCTTTGAACTTGATCTTCGCCTGATGCTACATACGCCACCCCGCCTCATCACCGTCACGCTCCCTGTGAGCCACATTGAAGATGAACCATACAGTGTCGATGATCTCAAGGATGTGATCTACTCTCGAACCGGCTTACCAAGATGTAGCTTCTGCCTCGGCCTACCTGCCCTACAAGACTATACTATTTCTCAGGTCCCCTACACGCTGTCCCTTGAAGACCTTGTGTTCTACCACATCAATATCCGTCAGACTCGACCACCCGGTCATGGATTAGAGTTCCCTCGACCACTAGGAACACCGGGATCGATGCCCTACCGTGACCCGGAGCTTACTGCACAGACCTGGGCAGCACCTCCACGACTACATGATGATGCTGGCCAACAGCTGCGTATATCCATGACCGCGTTTCCATGTCAGTACGAAATTTGGACCTTTTCGTAGACTCCCCGCCTATCGCCCTGTTCCAAAAGTGCGAGTGCTACCGTCTCCAGCATTCTCCCACCTACCTCCCATGTGATCTTTTCCAATTGCATACCCGTTCCTGCTATCATCGTAGTGATCAATCACCAACCCCTCCCCCGGTACCATACCCAATCACCCCTATAGAGTGATCACAGGTACTACCGCCAGGCACCCCGCACTTCAACCCAGCCCCAGCACCGAGCCACGGCCCCACCTGGGCCCACCCAACAAACAACCTCCAATGGCAGACCATCGAGTTTGGGACGCTCTACAAGACCCCGCTCGCCAACCTTATCAGATCTCCAACGTTCCTGGCCTGGTCCCTCGTACAGCCACTATCCACATTCCGACCGACCTACTGACTTCCGTACAGGCCCCACACCCCAAGAGCAGGTTCAAGAACGAATGGAAAGGAAGGTGAACCAGAAAGCGAATGGCTCTGGTGGGCATTCTGCTCACTGGCGCTGATCGGGGCCTTGAGCTTGATGCAATGGTTGCGGCAAGGCATGATGAAGAATGTGATGATGAAAGGATGGAACTTCATGGTGGAGTTCATTGAGAAGGCGATCATGGAGATCACGAGGTACAAGGGCGATGGAAAGAATGAGAAGAAAGAGAAAAGCGCACAGACCACAGAATGGCTGGAAGTGAAAGTGATCAAGAACTACAAGGAGCAAGTGAGCGAAGTGCAGAATGATGTGAGCCGATTGGAACTTTACACAATCGAGCTTGAAGATATGTGAAAGACCGGAGACAGCAAAGACATGATGTCTTCAGGCAGTGGCACACCCGTGTTTCCTGCGCCGACGCCCACCTCATCACCGCCGACGACCTCCTTGAACTCTGGCACCATTTCCACGACTACCTTCAGAACACACCAGTTTCCGTGGATCTCTATGCAGTCAACGACGATTTGGTAGGCTTTTTCAATTCCGTCCCCCAAGACCGTCTGATCCAAGCCATCCACAGCCTGTCAACCGTTGGCAACACACCTTTGCCACCCCAACCCTGACGGTGGACACATATACAACCGGAGACCCAATCCAGCTCGCCCACATTGGCCGTCATCACCGCAAACATCCCACACAACGGACACTGCACACTGCCGACATCACCACGATTGTAGCCTTAGCACTTGACTCATGCATTTTCAAGGCATGCAATTCATATTTCCTGCAGGTTCGAGGAGCCGGGATTGGCTCTCAGCTCTCCCCGGCCTTGTGCAATGTCGCCATCATCGAACACTCCCGGCATCAACTCCACCATTCTTTGACAGACCACACCGAGATCCATTTCGTCTATACTACCGGTACGTGGACAATCGCTTCATCGCGTTCAACAGCACCTTCCTCAAGCACCTCGCCATCCGGACCTTGATCCACCCGGACTTCTATGGCAACCCAGCGAACTTACATCAACGGACCATCTCCTACATCCCACCTGATGCTCCATGGAAGATACGCGATCATGCCTCAGCTGGATCCACCCGACTACGACTATCCGGTCTACATTCCAGAGCCCACCTCATCCGCAAGTACACCTACCCGTCCTCGGCTGTTGAGCGAGCGCTTGCTCAACTAGCAGACCTATACGTCCAAAAAGGACATGATCTTCGCAGCTGTCGTCAAGCCCTGAAAAAAGCTCACGTCTTAGCTGCTCTCGCTTCCCAGCGGGTTTCCCCATGCAGAGTGCGCCGTCCCCGGCCCTCTGTGCGTGTCAACACCTGTTTCCAAGGTTCTCGTAACTAATTTTTGACAAGGATCGCAGGACTACTTCATGCCACTGTTCCACTCCGGCCCAATTTCAAGCAGCAGGGGTGCAGAGCACAGTGGAGACTGCACCCAACGAAGCTATCCACTTGTGCTGGAAGCAGAGCCTGATCAGCTCTGTGTACCTGCAGCGATTTAATCGGTTCAACTGTTGACAAGCTGTCTCATTCTGTGATTTGCAGTAAGCGGCTAATGCACTACAACAATTTGTTAAACATCTTCAATTTTCCGGACTTCCTCGCCCTTCGGTTTGCACTTTTCTTCCAGTCAAGGGGAACTTCGTACTGATAATAGCTCTTGCGAGCAACCATCTGAGTGTGTGCGTTTATGTCCCACAAGCATGTACGTGCACTGCGTGACTATGTTTTTTTGCCTGTGTGTGTGTGTGTAAAACAGCTAGGGGCGTCAGCTGGATATTAGGTTCCAGGAGAATGCGATTAAGGCTTGAAACCGAGCTCTTTTTGCAGGAAGAGTTGATTGGAAAAGTGGAGAGAATAAGTCCGTTTGAGCGGTCAACGATTGGAGAGAAAGGTGATATGTGAGTCAAGCTTCAGAACATGAAGACCCAGGTGGGGATTTGGTAAATACCCATCCCTCTCTTGTGATGGACAAGGGTGATGCGGGGAACTTCTCCCAGTGGCTACATATCTGCATGACACCGTGTGTCCATATTATGTCATCTGGTTAGATCAATGCTCACATGCCTTTGCAATGTTGAGTGCTTACTCTGAGCCGATGGCAACAGCTGAAGGGAAACATGTCAACAACTCCATGGCTGTGAGAGCATGATTCAAACAGGCGCTGCTCGGCTTAGGAAATCTGAAGGCAACGCAACGTGTGGCAACGCCATGCAATTGAAATTTGCATCCCTCTCGTCCCTCTCCTGCTCCTCTTCCTGCTCCTCCTGCTCCATTTCAGCAGGTGAAACCTCACCCTGACAGAGGAGTCTAAACTCTTGAATTGTGCCTAGCTCACAGCAGCTCACACCACAAAAACTGAAAAGTAGAAACTTGCATATACCAACCTCCTGCTCAATTTTGACCAGTTCTTCGTGGGTCATGTCCAGCCATGTAGTGGAACGATGGATCGACAAAATGCGCCTCCAAGTTGCTGTTCTGGCTAAGGCTGTGCCAAGGATAAGCTTTCAGCCTCAGCACTTTGACACTCACCATGAATGCATGTCAGTGCAATTATGTTTCTTATGATCCTTCCATCTGGCGCAGTCCCAGTACAGGCCACGCACCGTAATTTACAATGAGGTCCGCAAGAATAAGTACAGTGAGTCGCGCCTCTCGTGACTGATTTGAACTTTCTGGCGCGGAGGATTGGTCTGTGAAAAATTGAAGGGATCACATCTCAGTAGTAGGTACCATCATCTTTGCCCTGTGCGTCCAGC